GGCATTTCCAGCGCAGAAAGGGCATTTCCAGCGCAGAAAGGGCATTCCCAGCACGCCTGGCTCGGGAATTACTGAGCTCTCTGGCACCTTTCCCGTCGGAGATGGCTCTCGCCGCTCTCGCCCGTTTAACCCCATCCTTCCCCTTTCCAGAATTAAGGGCCAGGAGCAAAGAACCGAGCCTTAAAGATCCTCCTGCCCGGAGATATTCCCTTCCTTAATATAATTAAATAATCAGCTCCACAATAGCAAATAATGCCATCGTCAAACAGGATTCGTTAATTGCGACAGAATTCCTGCGGGTTTTCCTTTTTTTTTTCGGATGCATTTCTCTCCCAGGGGCTGTGGGAACGCCCCACTACGCCCAGGTGAGGCTCCTGCAGCCCAAAATTTTGCATGGAAAAAGAAGGACGAGGCGCTGATGGAAGGATTTCTCCCACCCGGGCAGCCCGGAGGTCTCGTCCCTCTCCCCCACGCGTGCCTACCATTTATTATCCGCGAATTTGTATCTGTGGTCATCCGCGGGCACGATATCCATCAACAGGATGTACTTCGTTTTTGGATTGAGTCCAGTGACCTTCACTTTGTAACTGGGGAACATTCGCCTATTGAATAAATAGATAAATAAATAAAAGTATAAAAACAGTTAAGTTTGCCAGGGTGGTTTCGCGTGAGGGAGACACTGGGGAGAACATTTAACAAAAGGGTTAAACCACATTGCCGGGCGGATCTTCCCCTTGGGTGCTGCTGGTCCCATCCCGGGCGAACCGGGGGTTTTATCGAAGCCAAATCGGAATTTCGAAGCTGGTTTGTTTATTCACCTCCTCGTGTGCCTGCTCATCTGTTACTATCTTTACTAATTACTTCTTTCACCAAATTTTGAATTTCCATTTTTCGAACAAATCTGAGGGTGAGAACTTTTGGAAGCAAGTTACTTCCCTCCCTGCATAAACCGCTGGAACAGGAGAGGAAATTTGCCAAAAATAGTTTTAAAATCAAAGTTATAATATAGATACTCCTATAAAAATTATATTTATATATCTTTCTATAAATGTATAAGTTTATAGAATATGTATATGTTTTTATGTTCTCGTCTATTACATATATAGAAATATAAACATTTTAAAATACATTTATAGTAACACCTTGAGGTTCTAGGGACAGATACGGAGCAAAAACCCTGCACGCACTCAGGTGTAAGAGAAAAATCCGTGAACAGCCGTGTGGTCACCCCGGGAGAGCAGCAAGCACACCTGACAAATCCTTGGAAACCCTCGGACACACACAAGGCGGGCGCTTTTCGAAATATTTTCCATTACTACAAGGCAAGCACTTAAACCACTGCTGTTATTTTAGTTCAAGCTTTCCAAATATTTAAAAATAAAGCAGATGAAAATGGAGCCCTGAGCTTAAAACACGCATAAACAACCAAAAAAAAAAATAATACCAAAAAAAAAAAATGTCCCACACCTCTAAAAATACCGCGCTGCTCTCCGGGGCTGGGATCTTATCGCTGCCGTGGGCACCTGGGCTGGGCTTTAATTCGCTTCTAGAAAGTTAAAGGGGGTGAAAAGCGCCCAGCCAAGGAAGCGGGTGTTGAACTTCAACGTTTTAAGAGGGAAGAAAGCAAATTCCAGCTGGAGATTGATCTGCAACTGCATCGAAAACACCTGAGCAGCAGGACCAGGGGCAATGATGTAAAAAAGGAAACCCAGCCCGCATCGCCCCTCGAGCCCTGCCTGTAAATGTCTCTATTTTATTGCTCTCCAGATGAGATCTCTGTCCGCAGGGATTTTTGTTTGAAAATTCTGCAAGGTGGTTTCTGTCTCCCTTCGAAAGTTGATTTTTTTTTCTTTTTTTTTTTTTTTTTTTTTTTTTTTTTTTTTTTTTTTTTTTTTTTTTTTTTTTTTTTTTTTTTTTTTTTTT